ATGTGGGATTTTTTGTTTTGTTCATCGTGTACCAATAAAATTTCCACTTAAAATTTATACGAAAAAAAAAATATTTATACTAAATGTTGAAAATATGAAATATTACAATGTTTATAAATTATTTTTTATGTTTTCTTGTGTTTTTTCAAAAAAAATGTGTTTATTTGCCAATGAGTCACACAAGTAAAATACACACTTTTTTAGAATTAATAAAAAAAGAAACAAATTCCAAACATCAAATTTTATTTTGCAATGTACACACACACTTTCTTTTTATTTGTTTTGGTTTAAGTTGTGACTCGACTTGAGTTAAATTCGAAAGCAAAAAAGAAATTCTGAAATTTTTTCCTAAGAGATAACAAATGACTCATTTGTATGTAATTTTTTGATGTTGATGATGATCTTTCTTTCTTATGTACGTGGAACCACTAAAGATAAACCCACATTTCCCACATTTATGTATATTTGGTAATTTGGGTAAGTGTGTTTATTTTAGCAGAATTGGACATGATAAATTACTAAAATTTAATTGTTAATAAGAAAATTTAAAATATATAATTATATTTCATGACAATGCCAACAACCTCTCGAGAGTGTCTATAATGAACAGTATTTTTCTGAAAATGTAAGAGATACAAATAAATAATTGTTTAAATCTTTGAGTAATACACAAAACCACACGTTAGGAAAAAAATAAAATTATTATTAAAGTAAAATACCACACAGCACTACTAAAAAACCACCTACAGATAAATAAACAAACAGAACCTAATGAAAACAAAACGTATTTAGAAAAAAGTACAAGATGAATAAGTATTTGGTATGCTACAGGGGGTAATTTAGTTTGATAATAAGATTGTTATCACCACTGCTTAAAGTTTAGCAGTAACTGGATATGACTAGAACTGAACTAGAACTGAACTAGAACTGAACTAGAACTGAACTAGAACTGAACTAGAACTGAACTAGAACTACTAGAACTGAACTAGAACTGAACTAGAACTGAACTAGAACTGAACTAGAACTGACTGAACTAGAACTGAACTAGAACTGAACTAGAACTAGAACTGAACTAGAACTGAACTAGAACTGACTAAACTGAACTAGAACTGAACTAGAACTGAACTAGAACTGAACTAGAACTGAACTAGAACTGAACCTAGAACTAACTAGAACTGAACTAGAACTGAACTAGAACTGAACTAGAACTGAACTAGAACTGAACTAGAACTGAACTAGAACTGAACTAGAACTGAACTAGACTGAACTAGAACTGACTAGAACTGAACTAGAACTGAACTAGAACTGAACTAGAACTGAACTAGAAACTGAACTAGAACTGACCTAGAAAGGACTAGAACTGA